AACTGGACTTAACTCCATTTACAACTACTCTCTGGGCTCGGGTTTTTTACCCAGCAAAGACTATGCCCATCCAAGCCACGAGCTGCCAGCTTCCCAAGGAGAATATTGTGGGAGACGGTGTCAAAAGCTTTGCTAAAGTCGAGGTAGATGACATCCACAGCCTTTCCATCATCTACCAGGCGGGTCACCAGGTCATAAAAGGAGATCAGGTTGGTCAAGCAGGACCTGCCTTTCATGAACCCATGCTGGCTGGGCCTGATCCCCTGGTTGACCTGCACTTGCCCGTTGAGTTCACTCATGAGTTTTTCCCCAACTTTAAAAAAACCAAAACAATTATTCCTTGTGGTACAATCCTAGTACACAAACATGTGTAGACTGAGTTAAGTCCCCAGGAATAGAGAGATTTTAATAAGTTTCTAGTTATTTTTTACACCTAATTGTTCTTTCACAATCTGTATTAAAAAGTACACACAATTAACTGTAGGGGTTGTCTAGTGGCAGCTGTAGAGTATTTAAATGTTAAGGATAGTTAAAATTACAGTGGAGACAGAGGTGAGACTGAAACAGCCCCCCACTCTCTAGTTAATCTGGTACCTCTACACTGCAGAAGTCTGAGATTTCAGAGAAGATATTTGACCTGCAAACTTCAGTAACTCCGTGGTACTGCTCTTTTGCTCTACTCTCCAAAGCAGAGACAAAAGCACTGAATCAGAACACCTGGTATGTTTTCCATACAAAAGATTTCTAAATGAAAAGAAGCAGGCAACACAGAAGGTGACACCCTAATATCCACACTAGTTGATTGGAAATTAACCCCTGAAGCAGTTTAAATGACTGTGTACCATACTTTTGCAATACCAAATTTTTGGAACCTCCCAAAAGGAAGAGAGGTGAGACTGGCTGCAGCAAGTATGGCTGATTCCCAGGCTGCCTGCACGTGTCTGCCCCATATTGCCTTCCTCCAGGACCCATGGGACAGCACAGCCTGTCCCTGCTGCCCCATCCCTACCCAGCTAGTTCCCAAGTACCAGACTCCCTGGCCTGAATCTCACAGCTCTGCTCCACATGGCAGCACCACTGAAAGGCTGTGAACACCTCTGACAGTTCAGAGCTGGTTTGGTACTGCAAGACAAATGTAGGAGCACTGCATCTATCAACCTGATATCAAAAATATTTGACATACATGACTGTGTTAACAATGAAGGATGTGGAAGTTATGCAGAGGGATGAATCTCTACAGGATTTCTAAAGGAACTGTACTGCCAGCTGTAAGAGCAAATCTCACAATTTATACTGGTGTGCATAAACGATTTTTGGTCCAGTAGGACCAACCCAGACTGTGTTTCTGAGAAAAATTGCCATGCAATGAAGGCACCCACCTTATTTATGATTTTATATAAAGAACAAAGTTACCAGGAAGATGTCTGGTGACCAGATCTGTTCCCAGTGAAGATAATGAGAGCATTCCTCCAAACTTCAGCAACAGCAGAAGTGGGAGTAGTAATATATAACCATTAGGATGACAAAAGACTACAGACTGCAAGTTAGGCTCAGTTCTACCATAAACTTACCTTCAGCAAGCCAGTAACTTGTGTAGCTGTGCCTTGGCATTTCCATCTTCACAGAAAAACCGAGAAATTTACTGAATTCATAGGACTGTATTGAAGAAAATGTATCATCAATAAAATGCGAACTTTTCCAATCAAGTGCCATTAAAGCATCCAGTATATTTAATCTTCATTTCCTTTGTATCAATCCAGTTAATCCATGTGCTAATTCACTAGTTTTTTCATTTGTCAAATATTTATTTTAGTCTGCTTACAAATTGTCCAGGAAAACAAGTACAGCACTATTTTAAAGTAAGTCCCTTTGTCCCCTTTTCTGAAAATGGAATGCGACTATTTCCCCCCATGTAATGAATGTGGCACAGTTTTTCATCAGTTTTGTAACAAGTGAAGTATTTGAAGTTTTCTAGCCTCTTGTTCAAAATACAGCCTGAAAATACATATTATATTATTCACAATCAATAAATATACAATCATCTTGGAAAATCACACATAGAAAACATTACACACAGATGATTAAATATGTGCTAAAAATGTACTAACAATTCTCCTTAAATCCCAATATTTTTAAATGCCAAAATGTTTTACCATACGCAGACACAATAAAATCACTTTGGTGTGTAGGCAGATCATGCTTAAATCGGATTTCCACAGCACAGACAAATGTTACAGATATGTTAGTTGAGGACAATATGGATTATAGATCTGGCATTGCTCTGCAGAAACCTAAACAACACTCTTCACTGTAAAAGAGTATGACAAGTCAAGTTGTCAAACTACATAGTTGAGAAGCAATCACTGTTGGAGCAAAAGTTTCTGGCATAACTCAGTGTTATGACCAAATGTTGTTTAATATAACGTTAGGTATTGTAAAGAGAAAAGCCAGAACTTTCCTCACCCAGAATCAGCTGGTACAACACTATCTCCTGTCTCCCAAAAGTGTGTATTAGTACCTGCTAAAGTACAGCAAACATGGTGCCAAAATCTAACCATCAGCCAGATCCTTTTCATTTGAGCTTATTATCAGGAGATTCTTGTTTGTCGATAATTAACTTGCTTTAGTTCAAACTACTAGGATTTCTGAAATATTCCAGAAATGTCTGTCTGGGTGAGTCTAGTTCAAACTGCAGTGGTAATCTGCGTCAGTCCTAGGTCATTGGACTCTTCTCTCTCTTGAGGACAGTAAGACGACATTTCCACGACTAGTCATACAGGTTTGTTTGTCCCATCTGTTTCCCTCATATAAGCTGTGTCTTGCACAGTGTTTCTGACTCTGCTGGTGCTCTGTCTGTCCATCCTCATTTTAAAGGGGAAGCAGAAGTCCTTGAAACACCTCTTGAAGTTTTCATCCAAAAAAGCATAAAGGATTGGATTGAGGCTGCTGTTGGTGTAACCCAATGCAATACAGAAGTAATAGCTGGATATAGCAGCAGTACTGTGGGACACATCCCCTAATGCTTCAACCAGCACAAAAATGTGAATAGGGGTCCAACAGATAATAAAAACTGCCACAACCACAAGAACCAACCTGGTGATGCGGCGCAGGTTTCGATCTTTTTCTCGAGAACCTGAGAGAAGCCGTACACTTTTAAGGCGCAGGATCATCAGAGTATAGCAAACAATTATAATGAGAACTGGAATAACAAATGCAAAGACAAAGACACAGATTTTCATGAAGATGTCCCACCACACGTAATCTCTGTCTGGAAACTGCAAGGAGCATTCAGTGCTAGCAGTATCTAGGAATGAAAGAAGCAAGAAGAAGAAAATTGTTTTATTATTAGGTATTCTAAACAATGTAATTATCATAGCATAAGCTAGGAAAAGTGATTATCATGTAATGTGATACTAATAAATGGAGTTATCATTAAATCACTCCAAGGAAAGCTATCAATTACCATTGAAACTGGTTTTATGTAACTGTCTCTAGAAAATACTTAGACAGGTAGGGTTTTTTTAAAATGCATAACATTGCATAAAATTTGTTTCCCATGGGAGGACCTAAAAATGCAGAGCACAATAATAAACATTTGTAAAGATGTTTCCACTTGAATCTCACTGAGATTTAAAGCCATAATAAGTACCACATTCAATGGAGTAGAAATCTCACAATTATTATCAAACTACATATGTTTTTGTCTGCGGGCGGAGACAGATTTTTGGTATCATGAATGGTGGGAGCCAAATGAGGTTTTAATCGTAGGAAGATTTTGCCAATATATGATAATTGTGTAATAATCTTGTCCCACGTGCCTTCTTCAGTGCAAATGGAATACATGTAAGTGCTTGCATTTAGAAAAACTTATTTCCTGGCAATAGCTTCTTTTCAGTTAAACAGAAGCAAAATAGATGTGTGTGTGGAGTCAAATGGAAGCTGCTCTTTTTGCAGATCAGATCACTGAAAATTCAGCCTGCACAGAGACTGCAGGATCTGGGCCACCAGCACCAGCCCTCTCCCTTTCTGATTGCCCATGCCAGGAGTCAGAGTCACAGGCTGTCACTTGATTTTATGTCTCAGAAATATTCCATCTGACAGGAGGCTGCTAAGGAATGGAATATTTGAGGCTTCATTTGCTGACCTCATTGGAGCCTTCCAGGATATAAATCATATGGAAAACCAAGAAACAAGATAAATGGCAAGGCAAGAGAAGGGGTAAATTTACAACCACTATCAGCAGTTAAACTCTACTGAAGACAAGTCAAGGTAACAGGGTCTTTTCACTCTGAATTGTAGCTTAGATTTTATACTATTGAGCACTGCATTATTCTTTGGAATTTTTTTCATTTTTCCTACTGAATTTGTCATTCGTCTACAAATAATTGTGTATTGGTTTTTATTGAATTAGATCTGAGGGTGGAATGATTCAATATACTCTTGCACATCACTTTTTCATTTCTGTCTCCAGCCAAACTAGTCAGAAAAATTCCATCAAGCCATATTTCCCTGCTATCAAAATGCTTCACAAATCAAGATGATATTGCAGAGAATTTGTTTTGAAAAGCAAGTAGGGGGAAATTATCAGTATGGTATCATATAGACATTTCCGTGGTGAGCTATCAGAAAGCTGTTACTGGGTGAAATTGAATACTGAAATGTTCAAATAAAAAAGTTGAAATTAAAGCTAAATATTTGAGGTTTTATTTTAAATAATATAAAAACTAATGGATGATTCTGAAAGATGAAAAGTGAAAAGACATATCTTTCAAGCCTGAGAAGGATGCTAAGCTGACAGAAGTATGACTTAAGAGGGTCTTGACATTCAATCAACTTTTTAAAATCCTTTGTGATCTAGGTTTTCATAAGTGTAGTTGCTTTTACTTAATTTTATTCTAGAAATGTCAACAATCATCTTCAAAGAAGTTCTCACATTGATTATTACTGTTATTTGTAGTAGATCATGGCCTAGCAGCAGCAATAATATCAGGATGCAGCTATAATATCTACACTAGCAAAGCTGCATCCAGATGTGCAGTTCTGGATAAAACTGAGGTGTGATCAAGGATGACTGCTTCAGAACACATCCAGTTACTCACTGAACCCCCCTCCCAAAGGAAACTCCTTCTTCAGATCTACTGACACATTTTCATATATTTATCAAAATAATTAGGTCATGCTTGCTACATTTTAATATAATTTGTAGTTGGCAATGGTATTTTAGAATTCCAAATTATCAAATACGAATTTAATGATTGTTTTACATCTTATTACAGATTACTTTCTATGGAAAATCTTATTCTAAATTCACTAATATTCATGTGTTTCACTTGATATATATATATAATGCTATGAATTGTATCTAACCCATTTATATTTTCCCAGTTTACAACTGGCAAACAATCAACAAAGATCCTTGTCACAAGGCACAGTATCATAATAATTTTCAGGAACTTTGGAAGAGAATAAAATCCACTTCAAATTTTATTCCTGTTGCCTGAAAAGATGCAGAACTAAGTACAGTGTCACAAACTGAGTACTTAAGATTTCATACTGACCTTTTCCACTCTGAAAGCCAAATATTCCAAATACATTGATCTATTTAAGGAAAGATACTGCATTGCAGATGGTATTTTAGTGTACATATATTTTTTAATGTGTTTGATAAGCTACCATTTAAGATTTAATCTTGACATAGGAAATATATTTCTGTTAGATACATTATTAATTATGTCACCTTCAGGCATCCATAGTCCTCCGTACTCAAGTGAAGCCTTCATAATATTACTGGGAATGCTAATAGTACCTCTAATTTTTTTTTTTTTTTAAGTGAACAATTCTTCAGCAAGAAAGGTTCCATTAAGAGAGAGGGAATATTTACACAGATGTAAAATTTATTCTGCAGGGAAAATGTATCCAGAAGGACACCACTGGGAGCAATCCTGTACTGTGAGAACAAAAGGGACTAACTCAGCATGGGGTGGGAACTTTAAATACAAGCACTTTCCATTTGATGTTCAGTTGTTTAAATCTGAATCCAACAGATGCCCTGTAGCATATAAGCAACAACTATTTTGACCAACATAACATGAAGTTTCAGTCCTGAGCTCCAGCTGTCAGGCAAAGGGAGGATCCTTGCTTTTCTCCTTCACCATTTATCAGTGCAATTCATGAACACACCAGACAAGATAATTGGCAGTAAATGCTCAAGAGAGACCTTAGATCAGACCAGTACGGTGAACAGTAGGGGCTGACAAGCATTTGCCAATAATTTCCAACCTTGTTTGGCCCAGTTGAGCTGTGTATTACTAGTCTCTGTTTCAGGAGAAAAAAAAAAAGGCTGCATGTCACGTGGCGTGGAAAAGACAGTTAATCATTGCTGGCCTCAGAGCAGCCCCTTGAACTCAATATGATGCTTACAGTGAATGACAGGAATATTCTGCTAGTTAAGCATGCTCCAACAAAACACCTGATTGAGTCTATGTCCCATGTCCTTCAAGATCTCATACGCAGTGAGACAATTATTCTTTCCAAATGAAGATGCCTGGAAGTGAATGTTTCCTGAGCTAGACATTGTTTTATAGAGCCTGTCAAAACTTTACTGCGGAGAAGAGTTACAGCACTGCAGACCAAGACACTTGACCCCCAAAGGGCTGAAAGAAGGGTTTCCAGAGGACTCTCCTGCCACCTACCCCCACAAGACCAACGGCAAGAAAAAATCTATACCCCTTCAGCCAAATCAATCAGCCCTTGAGCAGCTGTTACTGAAATGTTTTGTTTGCATTGATCTATGCCAAACAGTTTAACACACAGGATTTATTGTCTCTGCCAGTTAAAACAGTGTCCTCAAGCAAAGTTTACCATTTCTCTTGGGAGGAGTGAAGCCTTTCTAATAGAAAAGGTTGTTAATTCAGGAACTTATTAATCATTCCTCAAAAGATTATTTACACATCAAACAAGACTACCACCAAATAAATACGCATGTCTTGTATTTTATCAAGCCACCTATAACAGACGGCCCCAGCACAAGGACATCACTAGAGGCCTCAAGCATTTTGAAGACACTGAGGTGCTCCTGCACCACTATCATGCTTGTGGTTATGAAGTATATGTTTATGAGAATGCTTCTCCCCTTTCCTTCTCAAGAAGGATTTCAAAATAAGATTAACTTCATAGCAGGGCAGTTTTGGTAATGAGTCACCAGTTATAGGGGCTAAATCTGCAGTCCTTCATGGATCATAAATTTCAAGCAGAGCCTACAGATGGTCTGTGCACAGATCTCATTGACTTCATATTCTTGTAGTTGCTTCCCTGACATGGTCTGTATTCCCAGTTCCTCTGATGATCCTTATTCTCAGCCTTTCCAAGTCTCCATGTACATCCCCATCCCTTAAAGAATTTGAGATACTGTCATTTTCATAGACTTTATCTTCATTTTCTCTCTCCAGCTACTGACTTGTTTCCTTTCTTCACCACGCCTTCAAGTTCTGTGAAATGGTTGCTGATAATAAGCTCCCAAGTCTTTAATACTAATGATAGTTTTAATAATACTACTAATGACAATCAATCTAGTTTCTGCTCTTGGAACTTCAACAGAACAACTCTCACAGCACCTACAAAAAAGCACCTTAAGCCCACATTTCAACTTTCATCCTAAACTGATCTTTGATCAGCCCACTGTGATCAAATTCCTATTTTCCCCTGGTGTTTGCTACTAGTTTTTGATAGTCTTATTGTAGCGTGGACAATGCTTCAAACCGCATTTTTTTTTTCTTGCAGTTGGCAAAGGCATCTGCACTTAAATGATTTATATTTCATACTGTAATGTTCCACAATATATTTCAAAGTGTCAGAAATTTAGACATACTTTTTGAATCAAGGAATTTGGATGAACGTGCTGAGCATACACAAATTATTGAAAAAGGAATCATTCAGGTTTAGTCAATATTCCAAGCTACATTTTACATCATTTGAGAAACAAAGAGACTCAGTTTTGAATGCTCACACCCACCTTCCCTGACTTTGGTACCTCCAAGAACTATTGCGGATATACCAACAGATGAGGACAATAGCCAGATACAGATGTTGATTATCTTTGCCTTGAGAGGTGTACGGAAGTCCAGAGCCTTCACAGGGTGACACACGGCAATGTACCGATCAACACTCATCATGGTCAGTGTGAATATGCTGGTGAACATGTTATAATAGTCAATCGAAATAACTATTTTACACAGCACATCACCAAAAGGCCAAGAGTTCATCAGGTACTCAGTGCTTTGGAAAGGCATAGTCGTGGTAACTAGTGCATCTGCCATAGCCAGATTGAAAATGTAGATGTTGGTTGCTGTCTTCATCTTTGTGTACCTGAAGAACAAAATAAGTAAGGTTTTATTATTTCAAAATATAATTATGTACATTCAGATATGTAACAGTATATCAGTCAGGCTTTGCCATAGTTAGGTTTTTTTCTGTCATTTCTAATTTATGACAGAAGTGCACACAAATGCAAGGCTCTTGGGATAATAGTAAACACATTTGACTCAGTCTCTCAGCACCTGCATTAGCAGTTAGAACTATTCACCACAGGCAAAACCAGGTATATGAATACGTTTAATCTAATTAGCCAAATGCTGGTTTCAATTTTATCTTCTCAAATCCTTCTACAAGAAAATATCATTGTTACATTTGCAAGTGATCAAAATGTTTTGTGTTTCCTTTTCTTATAGCTAACAGTCAGTGATTGTGAGCTTCCAGGGTTTGTTTTGTGGAAGGAATAGTTATCCTATTCTCTGGTAAGAATCCATGTTAACTGTTACATCTGCCGGGCCAGATTGCCTCTTATATGAAAGCTTCTCTTCCTTGAATTCACTGCAACAATGCCAGCTTATACAAGTTTTAGCCATTTCCCTTCTTTGCTCCTTCATTTCCAATTTCTCCTCCTTTCTTATCCTCAGCTTTTCCCAGTCTTCACTTCTGTGACTGCTAATGTAAAACGTAACTATTGTTTAAGTAGGATACTACATTGGGGAAAAAAAAGATCATAGCATTTTTTTCTGCATCCTTTAATTTCACCAAAATGAATCACTTGTTTTGTCCAGCTGGTAAGGAACTCAGCCTACACAGAAAAACAGGATCTGTTTCTCCGAGACAGCACCCTGCTTTATTCTGCCTTGATGACAGTCTGACGCTGGGGCACAGCCTGTGTCCCAGGGTGTGGAGGGCTGCTTCCAACTCTGCTATGGACACAACAGATGAAGGAGAGCCTGTTAAAATAGGGACATACCTAACTCTCCTTTCTGAAATGCTTCCTCCCCCTAGTTACTTTTGCTCATTGCTATTAATTTATTTGAGATTCAATGACAGATTTTCCTTCTCAAAACTGTTTCACCCACATATTTTGAATGTGTTTCCAAAGTAAAAGGTGCACATGCAACACACAGAGAAACATGTGTAGCTAGATTTCTGTATGTATCATTAATAATTTACAGTGGAAATATAAGATTTGATCAGTCCAGCTAATGAACATGTAGAGTAATGAGTCTATTTGCCTTTAAAACTTTGATGAGTAAAATAAAAAATAATTTGAAAACAAAGTGTTGACAAAATGTGCCCAATAAGTAAATTCGCTATTAATTAAAATACGGGTAGAAATGTCATTTTATGATGAACACAAAATGTTAAAAATAGCATCAGTTTTTCTAAAACACTCTAATTATGACTTACTGAGAAAATGAAACCAAATGCTGGTTTGAAGCATAGAAAAGAGAACTGCAAGGGAAAGGAAAGTAAACCCTTCTCACCCAGATACCATACCCAGGCTCACATCTCAAACAAAGCCATAGCCAGTGGAGCATTAGAAATATCCAAGCAAAGACAGCCAAAAGGAAGGAGCAAGAAAAGCTCTATGCTGATGGCATGACCCCCATTGGGGGCGTCTAGACTCCCTCTGCCCCGGTTTGAGCTTCTCGGAGATCAAAGGCAGAGCAAGGAGGCATCTGCCAGTCAGAGCTGGGCTTCTGCCTCCTCCCAGATCAATCTCCTCAACAGGCCCTCCAGCAGAGGAGGCAGTCTGTCCTGTAGGTCACATTATAGCCCATAAGGCACCACTCACACATAAATATGAGATTATATATCTAGGACAAACAAATATAAGACACATTAACAGACTAGGAACTTTCCTCCTGGTAGAAAAAAAAAGCAGCTCCAAGTGCATCTCAGCTCTAAGACTGAAAAAAAACTCACTAAACACTCAGACTGCAAATCTGTGCTAGAATGGCCTAATTTCCATTAACTGTCTGAAAAGCAGTAGAAGAAAGGTGATTTTAGTTCTGTGGACATCACTGATGATATTTGGAATTGTTGTCTTGTTCATATTGCAAAAAAAGGCTATGAAAAGTCGGAAAGGATGCATAAAAAGCTTCACAAAAATAAATGAAAGGACTGGAGAAAATTCTTACTGTGAGTAACTTAAAGAGCTCAGCACATTTAGTTTATCAAAAAGAACACCAAGAGGTGACTTGATTACAGTGTCTGAAGACCTCCACAGGGAGAAAATAGCGGGTACTGAAGAGCTCTTTCAGACTGCAAAGAAAAGCATAACAAGGACAAATACGTAAAAGTCAAAGCCAGACAAACTCGGCTTAGAAACGACGACAGATTTTTACTAACAGCTAAGGTGATTATTATTGGGAATAAATTACACAAGAAAGGCGTAATTTTTCCATCTTTTGATATCTCCAAATCAATGTCTGCTACTTTGCAAAGGGTGTGCTTCAGTCAAAGACAAGTTACTAGACTCAATACAGGAATATCTGAATGAAATGCAATGGCCTGTGATAAGCAGAGGTGAAGTAACTAATAGTTCTGAATCACTACTTCCGTAGATCTTAAAAAAACTTCCCCAAGGGTTTGGATAGGGAAAGTTTGCTTTCACATATAGAAGAATTAGTTTGACCTTTTTTCCTTAAAGAAAAATCAGAAAAGTAGTGAAAATTAACTCAGAGGATTTTATTAGCCTTGAAAAATCAAATATCTGAAAGAATTTATATTGGGCATTTCCTGTTTCTTGCAACCTTAATTCAATTCTTTTTTGTGTGTGACACGGTGACCATATATACAGCATATTTTCCCAGTACCCCTTTCCCTTCTCTCCCCAGCCTTCCAGTGGCAGAATAGGAAAGGCCCTCTGTAAAATAGAACTAGTTTTTTAGTTAACTTCAAAATTCAAATTTTTGAAGTTGCAACATAAAGCACGTTCTTTGTATATATACTGCTTATGTTATACATGTAAAGTGAGCAATTTTGATTTTTTGGACTATGCAACACATGCACATATAAGAAAATTAATTTTCCTCACTACTGTTGATCCAACAGGAAGGATGTCTTGTCATTCAATAGAATATAGAAATATAGGGTCATCGTAGCATCAGCATTTAGACAACTTCCAAAATCAAAGCTATAAATGGGAGTGAAAATATTATAATGGGGAAAAGAAAAACCCACAGTGTGCCATTCCTCCCATAAAGCTCTGTGAAAGCTTTACCTCATTTCCGGGGCACCTATGCACATAACAATCCCAGCTTTGATAACCTTATCTGGTGTGCACCTAGTGCTTCCCCACAGCTCACCAGCCTGGCAGTCCCATGACTAGTTGGTCTTGCCTAAATCCACCCCAGTTCACAGACCACAGGTGCCTCCTTGCACCACTTACTCTGAGCCAGAACAGGCACCTGACCCCTTTTCTGCTGGACTTTGAACAAGAACGCAGGAGACCAATAAATACTGCTCTAGTAAATACTTTATTACATTTAGGCAATCAGTTCTCCCAGACACTGCAGAGGGATCATGTGTGCCTAACTCAGGGATGAAGTTAACCTTAACTGGTTAACCTCAGCAATGCTAAGTTCAAGTATGTTTTACTGATGCAACCTTAAAACTCATCTGTCTCACACTAGTGATGTAAAGAGCTTGATTACTTTCACCTGAAAGCATTGGCCTCAATGTAAATGAGATGTTGGCCTTTAAAGTTGTTAGGCAATATAGATTAAATAATACATTCATTTAGAAGTTCATAAAATTCAGAAATGCTTTTGAGAATCTGGACTCAATCATCCAAACTCCTTTCAACATTTTTAATTCAACACCTAAAAAATATTAAATTCCTACACACCTCTAAAGATACGTGCTTGCAGGCTGAATCAAAAGTCCAGTTAAAGTACTGGAGTGACTGCTGTTGCTGTCAGACACTTTGAAATTGATCCTGACAGAGTCTTGACTCGAACATGAGATAAGGGGTTTAACTAGTTTTCTACAACTCATTCTATTGCACCAAAATACAGGAGGCAATATTTTATGTGGTTTGGGGTTCGCCCACCATACCCTCTACTCACCCAAAATCTGCACTTGAACAAGGTCAAAACAGTGATCGAGTAAGGGAGTCTTGTCTTCCTTTGCGAAATTAAAATTATCGCTCAAACACCTGAATTGCATTTAAGGAGAAAATACTGCTATCTGCTTTAATTAGTTTAGCAGAACAGATAGGGGAGACCTGGACATAACTACAGCATAGACAGCACAGTGGTAATTAATGACAAACATTTTCATAGTGTCTTTGAGATATAACTTTCAAAGACCATTAAAATATTTATAAACCATTGTTGTATAAATTGTTCATGGGAAACCTTATGTCTAGAAAATGATTTGTTAAATATTGGGATTTCATAACAAGATGACAGCTTTCCTAACACTACATAGGAATGGAAGGTCCCTCTCTTAAATCAGGTGCTAGAATCTAATTTCAAGAGGCAGAAAAACTTAAGCTATTTGGTGGATCTTGAGACTGCTTGTCAAGCTATAAGCAGGCCTCAAGCCTCTGTAGACTTTAAATAACTGGAAAATATATGGAAACCCTGCAGAAAAACAGTCAAGATGAAAAATAAAACTTTGATTTGGATGTATTTTTTTGATGGATATATGACAAGAGTTTTTAAGAAGCAAGATTTAAATTATGTCTACTTAGATGTTAAAAGTAAAATTCGCAAAACTATCACAACTTAGGATAAGTCGACTTTCCAAAAGTTCTTTGAGACTGACTTTAGACTGACCCTTAGAAAATTTCCCCTATTTCTCAGTTGATGACTCATTACTGTACTTTTCCTTCTGGAGTAGAATTTACTTTGCACATTTTTTTAAGACAGTAAATAGGAAGGAATCACATCTCCACATTGCTAAGACTAAGCTTATCAATGAAATTGTGGTAACAGAAGAAGGAAGCATGCTATTAAGAAGTTGCTATGCTTTCAGAACAAAATCAAAATGCATTACTAAATCTGCTAGTAGAGCCCCTTAAAATTATTATCTCAAGCAGAGGA